TGCTCCTTGCCCTCCCTCGCCCCAGTCCAACAGTGGATTCATTGGTTGGTGAACCTCATCTCATCTAGAACTAGACATTTTTGGGTCTCTTCTTACAGTAAAACCTTTGACTGAGTATGCATATGCAGGTTCTCTGCCTAGCCTCTCACTCCTACTTCAAGCCTTCCCACTATTTCCCTTCCCTCAGGACACACCAACCGCACTAACCTTCTTTAAATTCCTTTCTCACCTCTTCCCCACCTCAGGGCCTGTGCCTAGGAGGAACTTCCCACTGATCTTTACAAGGTTTATCATGGTTCTAATCTCAGCAGAATATCACCTCCTCCGAGAAGTCTTTGACTATCCATTGTAAAACATACAACCACAGTTATCCACCACCAACATCCCACTCCCAGTCTTTCTGGATCACAGCACCCTATTTCATTGATATTAAAGCATCTGTCACCATTTGAACTCTCATCTGTTAACTTGTTCATTGTATCTCCACTACTAGATAGTAAGCTCAGGGAAACTCCAGGCCTTTTCTATTCTGCTCAGGGCTTCATCCTCAGTACCTGGAGCAGTGCCAGGCATCTAGTAAGTGCTAAATATATATGTGTTGAGTAAATGAAATACCCATCCTAACTGAATTTAAACTAAAAAAAAAAAAAAAAAGGAAATACCCATGAATGATGTCACAGAGGAAGTGCCTCTTTAGCCCATGGTTTGCTCTAAGAAATTGCCTAATGATGATCTTTGGAACGACTTCAGCAAGTGCATTAGGTAATATCTCCCAAATACAGCTGACATTTTAGCTAGGCTTTTCAGTTCACCCAGGAAGATGAACTCAGAGTTTGCATAAGCAGTGTGGCCAGCTTCTTATTGGATAATCTTTTACACAGCAGTAGTAAAGTATGGAGGGCAGGTATCCTAGGCTTCAGGGAGCAGCTATACCGTACATGCTGCGTCTGCTGTAGGCAGCAGAAGAGCTCTGATGAAAAGCAGAGGAAATTACAGTTGTCGGGCCTTGTGGTCACAAGGGCATGTGTTGCATTTGCAAGGTCATCATGGGATAATTCAGGGTGTAGCTTGCACACATTCTGCTGCTGAAAGGGAGATTTTTTTCCCTACCACATCCGACACATGGTTTGCCAGAGGAAGGGCATGAGATCAGCAGCACTGATGAGCTGGCTTGGTGTTTTTAGGCCACAACTCTACTGAACCAATGACTCCCTTCTAACTCCTCCAAAAGAGCCAAAGGAATTTATTCATTACCAAGTGTGAATAGCAATCACACAAAGCCACCAGATTGCTTTTGCCTGCTATACCAGAAGGCACTTCTCAAAAAAAAAAAATCTTAAATAATAACATTGTCAATGCCTATTGTACTAAAATCTTTGGGAGGGAAGAATGTTAACCACTTCTAAGCTAAAGATACATACACGTTCTATTTCTCCACTACAAATCTAGAAATAAAAGAAGACCACAATATAAAGCTACAAAGTGCACGGTACACTTAACTATGTGTAAAGTAGATAGAAGGCCATACAATTGCCCAGTCCTGTTTACGGGCTGGGGTGCCCGTTACTGCTATGTAACTAAGTGATTGGGATTTTCCCCCAAAGTCGTTGGTGATGTAAGAGTCAGGGCATATGAGACCATATGGTCAATTAGTACATATGCCTATTAGCGGACAAAGCATTGACATGGAAACTGGTACCTTGCGCTATAATTCTGGGTTTTATATTTTTATGCCCTGGGGCCTTTGCAAAGTTATTTATTCTTTCTGAGCTTTAATTTCTTTACCTGTAAAATGGGAATGATAACTACCTTATACAGGGTTGTTGATAAAATGAACTGAGATAATCTGGGTAAAGTGATTTGTAGGTATTCAGTGAGTGTTACTTCCTATTTTCTGGTCCCCAGAAGATGCAGTAGCTCAGCTGAAGGTAAATAGGGCCTTCCTCTCTAGGTAAACCATGTTTTCAGCTCAACCTTCACCTCTTTACACCTGGCCTAAAGCCCTACAGCATTTTAATCTCATCAACTTTATCAAAATGGCCATCAGTTTCATACTTGTTGACTTGATGGACTTTTATGTAAATTACTTCCTGTGAGTTTTATTTGGCTACAAAACCAAACTTGGAAGGTGTTTAACTTTGGTTGGTAATTTGGGTACTTGTATTTTTTTAGGCTAGACAAGTTGAGTAATAGTTTTATATAAATGAATAGCATTAGTCCAGCAAAATAATAAATGCCTTTGCTTATATAAGGCAAATTAGAAGACAAATGGCTTATATGTGAAGGACAAGAATGAGGGCCTTAAAAATTAACTAACCAGGCACACTTTTAAAGCATTTTCAGGGCAAGCGCTAAACAGTTATATATGGATGGAGCAAGAAGTATGTAGTACATAAATGAGATACATATTTTCTTGCTAGAAGGATGACTTTAGCTACACAAGCACAGAGAACACAGGAGATGAGCAAAGATACATAAGGAGGGGGGCTCTGTTTGACACAATTACATGGCAATTATCCACAGAACTCAGAAGCAATGAGGCTTTAACAAAGATTCTTCCTACTTTAGCAGCTGACATACTACATGAGTGAAGCAACAAGTGAATGCATCAAAACAGTACGCAATTACAATAAAGCCAACAGAAAGTGGCCTGGCCCTAATGTTCAAGTGACCAGACACAACTGGAAGCAAAACTTTATCATAAGCACGTGTACCATTAGAATCTGTGATAAGAGGACTTTAATTCCGGGGCGCCTGGGTGGCTCAGTCGTTAAGCGTCTGCCTTCGGCTCGGGTCATGATCCCAGGTCCTGGGATCGAGCCCTGCATCGGGCTCTCTGCTCCGCGGGAAGCCTGCTTCTCCCTCTCCCACTCTCCCTGCTTGTGTTCCCTCTCTCGCTGTGTCTCTCTCTCTGTCAAATAAATAAATAAAATCTTAAAAAAAAAAAAAAAGAGGACTTTAATTCCTACAGAAATATGCTTTTCATCTGAAATTATTTCATGTCTAAGATGTTTTCATAAGTTACTTCATTAAACACTTTTGTTTATGTGCCTGTAACTCTTCCAGGTTTGATGAGGGGTTGAGAATGTATCATTAGGGTTTCTGTCCTCAAAGAGCTTACTTTCTCGTTAAGGAGATAAGATAGACAGATGTAAAACAACCATACATGCACAAACAGCATGCAATTAGGTGATGAATCAATGATCCAGACTATAAATGCTGTAGAAGCTCAGAGGAGAAAGAAAGCCACAGAAATAAAGGAAGGTTTCAGGAACGATGTGGCATCTGATCAAATCCTTGAAAGATGGGTGGTATTTAGGACTAGAAGATAAACCTGAGATGCAATCTTCACTTTAACACTTACATGCTGTGTGTCCTTAGGCAAGATACTTAAAGCTTCCAAGCCTCTTTTTTATCCACATGGCAGGGAGGATAATGTCTAACTCTACAGTGTGTTGGAAAGATTCAATAATATGTAAAGAAGATGATAAAGAATCTAACACATGGTAGATAATAGATAATAAATTTTAACTATAATCATAAATGATCTTAATGTAGTTGTACCTCGTTTTCTGAGCAATTTCAAATGACCTTTGGTGGCAGCAAACTGGTACAGATATGAGTAGGTAAAGAGGAAGGTATGCATCCAGTTAGAAAGTCAGGAGAAAAATGTAGAGATGATCACACATGTTTGAGGGGAACCTTATCTGACTAGAGCAGCAGGTTCATGTAGGAAAAAACATTGTATAGATATGGTAAGTCATTCATTCAACACAAATTTGTTGATCAACTACTAGGTACCAGGCACTGTAGAAAGTGTGAAAGTTGAATAAAGGTAAGCTTTGAAAAGCAAACATTACAATTTGGCTCAACATGGTAGAAAGCAGGGTGACTTGGAAGAGTTACTTATTTAGCCACCTATTATGCAAGGGAGGGACATGTAATAGAAATAGAATTGAAACAGCTAAAATCTGGCAGCAAATGGATTAGAATGAAAGTGCAAGGTGGATATAAGGAGTATAACTGAAAAATTGTTGCACTTGTTAACTTGAAAAAATGGTGGTCATATGAAGGAAGCAGGAACGGACAAACAGGAGTAAATGAAAGGAACTTCTTCGTGATTTTGTAAATGACTTGATTTGGAAAATGAAGGCAAGGAAAAAATGGTTCAAAGATGAATACAAGGTTTACCCTTGAGTGAAAGAACAGCAAAGACAGAAAAAGGAAGGGTTGTTGATGGTTTCAGTGTCAGGTTAAGTTTGAGGTGAAGATAAGCTATTTGTTGAGCATTAACTTACAAGATCTGTGTTGACAATATAAGCAAAGGGAGTAGAACTGGGGGAAACAGAAATGATTATAGAGATCATGTGGCAGTTGGGATGGTTCAGACACCGAAAAAGACCACAATAAAGACAGAAGAAAGGCTGGGAGGTCTGACCTTATGGGCAACTTCCACGATGTGTGTGGGGAATAGTGAGTGTGTGAAGCAGTGGGGAGAGGCAGTGATGAAGGAGAGTGTGAAAGAAACCACCAGAGGGGAGAGTTCTGGAAAGCAGTTGACAAACAAGATCAAATGCATCTGAGAGTCAAAGAGAATGAAGATTGGGATCAATATTTGTGGGGCATTTATCCACAAAATGATTAATGGATAATGACAAAATAATGCAGAATTTGAAAAATATTCTAAGGTGGAACAATTTAGAAATACTTTGGTGTGACAAATATAGATCTTGTGTTTTCAAATTCCTGACAGATACTGATCTTTGGATTCAGGAAGAATGGAAGTTCCTGAGATTTCCCCAAATATAAGTTATTCTGTATTTATATAACCCTTCACTTGTATATTAAATAATAGTGATTATAATCATAAATAGTGAATCCTTTTTCTGTGATAAGGTTACAAGTTTTCTGTAAAAAGTAACATAATAATGCATGGTTTATTAGTATTATGAACTAATATACTTATTAGAAGATTATATATTTAAATAAAATTAAGCCTACCTGATAAGGATATTTAATAATGGAAATCACTAAAAAAAAAAAGGGAAACATCAAGATAAATCCTAAACAAAACATTAAAAATTGTAAGATCAAATAAATACTTAGTATTTACAAATTACTATTGTTAAAATGAAATTTTAAAACTTAGAATACATTATTGCCTTCTTTGATAGTCTTGATCTTTGTTTCATGATTAACTTCTACTCAGAAAAATTTCTTTCATTTTATGTTAACATTGGTCAAATTGTTAATCGTGAGTCTGAAAGCATCCTCAAGCTGAGCATTAGCCTATATGTTGTTCCACATAAACTCATTTTTTTGAGGGTGAAAATATTTTGTCTGGCTTAATTTTGGTTTTGACACTGAAATTGAGTTGTTTTTTTATGCTCAGATTTTTTTCCCTCCACAATAACATTTTTATTTCCTTCTCTTTGCATTTCTTAGGTTTAAGAATTTACAAAGAACTGTAGTCCATTGCGAATATACTGGGCAGTATTTGAATAACATAACTTAGAATCTCCTAGCAAGATTAACAGCACTGCACAAAATCACATGTTGAAATTTTTTAATTTAAGGACTTACTTGGTTTCTAAAACAAGGTATTTCTTGGAACAAAACTCATAGGAACTGTATAGAATATACTATGCAAATAAACTTACATTTACTTAATTCGCAAGAATGACTCATCACTAGCAGCAGACAGGGCCGTGAACACACAATTATAATGCAGCCATAACTACAAACAAAACTAACTGGTTAGAGGGTGCCTGGGTGGCTCAGTTGGTTAAGCGACTGCCTTCGGCTCAGGTCATGATCCTGGAGTCCCGGGATCGAGTCCCGCATTGGGAGCCTGCTTCTCCCTCTGACCCTCCCCCCTCTCATGTGCTCTCTGTCTCTCTCATTCTCTCTGTCTCAAATAAATAAATAAATAAAATCTAAAAAAAAAACAAAACTAACTGGTTAGATGGTTACCATTTCTTGGAAGGGTCACCAGTAACTTACAACTATGTGTGTCAGCATTTCCTGCTTTTGTATTCATTTGAACTAGTAATGTCTCTAAAATGATTGTTAAGTTCTCATTCTTAAAGGAGAATTATAATGCTTTCCCCATTTTACTGATTTCTGTACAGATCTTTCTCAGAATTTGGAAAAAAAATATAAATTTGATAGAAAATAATAGGAAGGAATTCCTGCATGAAAACATGACACAGACCTGTTATTTCTCCATAACATTTACGAAGCTCTAAGCTGCAAGTAACAGAAAAGTAACCTTAAAGTGGCCTAAATGATAACGGGATGAATTACATCACATAATAAGGAGTCTCAAGCCACCTGGGGTTGGTTAATTCAGCAAGTCAAAAACAAAATCAAGAGCTCATGTGCTTTCCACCTTCCTACCTTGTCATCCCAAGTGTGTGGACTCCCGCCTGGTCACAAGGTGGATGCAGCTGTTTCAGGTGCCACATTCTCCCATCCTAACATTCAGAGCAGAACAGGGACAATTTACTTCTTGCCAGTCTTTGTTTGTTTTAATGAAAAAATCTTATCTTCAAGCCCCTCAATGATTTCCCCTCATCCTTCATCAGCCAGAACTAAGTAACATGCCCATCCTTAAACCAATCACAACAAAGGAAACAGGGCTAGCATAATCAGTTTAGTGCAATCTAGTTTAACTTGAGACATGGAAGAAGGGAAAATAGCTATTGCGCAGGCCAGTGATTCTCAAACTGGTCTTATGACCTCTTAGAAATTATTGAAGACTGCAAAGAGCTTTGGTTTATGTGGGCAATAGCTATTGGTATTTATTGTATCATAAATTTAAACTCTGAAGATTTTTAGTTATTAATTCATTTAAAATAATAGGCCAATCATTTGTTACGTACCGTGGTAGGCAGAATGAAGGTCCACATCCTCATCCTGACTACCTGTGAATATGTTCAGATGTGATTAAGTTGATGTGGAGCTGGATCTTGAGATAGGCAGACTATACTGGATTATTAGATGGGCCTAATATAATCACAAGGGTAGGTATAAGTGAAAGGAGGCAATGTCAGAGTGATACAGATAAGACACGTCTATCTATCATAGGCTTTAGAGATGTAAGGGTATGGTATCCTGAGCCAAGGAATGTGGGTGGTCTCTAGAAGCTGGACTAGGTAAGGGAATGGATTCTCCCCCTGGGTCTCCAGAAAGGAAAGCGGGCCTGTAGACACCTTGATTTTAGCTTAGTGAAACTCATTTCAGACTTCTGACCTCTAGAATTATAAATTTCTGTTGTTTTAAGCCACTGAATTTGTGGTAATTTGTTATGGTAGCAATAGGAAATGAATACATACCCATATTATAAAATGAAAAAATAATTATGTTTTCCAGAACAAAATAAGAGTGGCACTTATTTACATTTTTTGGTAAGTCTCCTTAAAGTGATTATAACAAGATAGGTAGATTTTTCATTTCGGCTTCTGCATTCGGTTTGTTGGATATCAGGTCATGTTGCCTTTGAGAAACTCTGCTGTACTTTTGTGACAGAATGTGAATGAGAAAGGCAAATAATTTCTCAGTATATAATAAGAATAGTTTTGACCCCATGGCCCTCCTAAAAGGGTATTAGGGATATACAGGGATGCACCAGACCACACTCTGAGGATCACTGGTACAGGAAGTCAACAGGTTTTACTCCACCCCCAAAAGAACAGATCTAGCACTCACAAGAGTGAACTTGTCTGGCCCTAAGGTCATCATTAATATGGTGTGATGATTTTGACATTTCTTCTTTAATTCAAACAATATTTCTAAGAGTTTATTTTGTGCTTGGCACTGTTTTATGGACCGACACTATGTAAGTGAACAAGGAAGATACAGCTCTTGCCCCATGGAGCCTACATTTTAGTTGCAGAAAACTAATAAGCATTTAAAAAGGTAATTTCAGATACTTCTAAGGCATATAAAGAAAAGTAAGTAATGGGACAAAATGTGAGGGGTGTTTCAGGATGTGGGCAAAGAGCTAGTTTAATTAGGATCTAAAGAAGTGAAGTTAGAGCTGAAATGTGATGGGTAAGACGAAAGCACTGGAAAACGTGGAAGAATATTCCACGTAGAAAGAACAGCAGGGCAAAGAGCAGGAAGGAGCTTGGCAAGGCGCACAGAAAGCAAGCCAGTGTGACTTTAGCGTATTCATGAGAGGAATATAATAGAAGAGTGAAAAGTCCAACAGGTATAGATCATTAAAATCTTGCAGGACACAGAAAAGACTTAAGGTTTTATTCCAATTGCCATACAAACCCACTGGAGGACATAAGAGGCTGTGGAATGCTCTATATATTTGCTTCTGTCAATTCTTCCACCTTCTCCACGGGCTGCTCTTCAGCCCAACACATTACCCCTTTTTATAATGCGGACTCTCTAGAAAGGCACTGGACCCCAAATAGACACATCTTGCCTCACATAAATTGTTTGTATGCTAACATCAAAAACACACAGCTCTGGAACCAATCAGGGGAATGTAAATTACAGGTTACTTGTTGTGGAATAACTTCTGCTGTTGGCCAGAGTAGGTGCACAGCCAAAAATGCACTGTGTGAATACAATTGTTTGGCAATTGCTGGTCTGTCAGTTGTCCAAAGCGGTAAGTGTGTGAATGGATTTGTATGGGTAATGACTCTGAAATTAGCAACTAGCTTTTCTCGTCTCTCCATAATACAGGAAAACACATTGGAACTTGGCTCATTTCCGGAGAATTCTTGTGATGATCCTCAGTTGCTCAGAATGCACATTTGGTCGTCATTATCCCTTGTGTAATCAGTTTCTACAAACTATAGGATGATGTTACAGTGATGTTTACAGAATAAGGGAACATGCTCCACACCTTAATCAAATCATTTAAAGATGAGCCTTCTTAGATAACATGCATTTATATATACGGGTAGTCATTAGATAGTCTTTACTCTGATTTATGCTCTAGAGAAGTAATCTGTCTCCCACTAGAAAACTCCAGATGAACCATGTGCCTAGAATTCTACAAAGTATTTACTATAAATAATATAGTAGAAGCATTTACCAGACAAACCTTTCCACACCGAGATGATGCCGAGAGTCATACAAATACAGAAATGAGTTGAAATCTGCTTTCTAAGGGCCTAAAAACGGTCAGGAATTTGGACCCAATCAGCACACATAACTGCAGGTGCGGTGGCCCCGCTGTTAAAAAGCGGGATCCACGTGAATAATAAGCTTAATCACATTTTCAGAACAGCTGTGGCTACTTGGGCCAGTCTCTCATCATGGCTCCCCAAATATTCTTTTCAATTATCGTGAAATTTTATATTAAACTTAAGCGCAGACTGTGTATCAAAGAAAATAAAACTATGTTAATTCCAAGGCGACATATTTTCAGAGGAATTTAATTCTGACCTCTGGATGCAATGAGGCAGTTTCTCTGCCCCTCGACTTCGGGGAAGGAAGAAAGGAAGGAGGGATGATTCAAACCTGTTGTTCTGCCAAGCAAGTCCTGGACGATTCCGATTTCCAGGGCTCAGAGAGTATGCTTGAAACCTGTGCCTTCCTCCCATGTCGGAAAAGCAGAAAGTTTGCTCTAGCTATGATAAATCTGCACAACGCGGAGATGTTTTTGGCACAAAGTGTACGTTAGAAAGCTGATGATGATTAAACTCGCCCCCATCCCCACCCCCATCCTTGCGGCCCGGGAGTGTTTTCCCTGAATTTAAGAAATTTCCTTCAGCTGCAGGCGTGTGCGTTTTTGCGACTCCGCGGGTCGGCTGAGTGTCACCCACAGATGTGGCCCGTCTTCCCCTGCGGAGGCGGCGGTCCCCTTCCTCTCCCCGGGCCGTCTCCAGCCCAAGGCCCGCGGCCCAGACTAGGGGAAGGGGAAGGAAGCCCTCGCCGCAAGCCGGCGTCTGGGCCGGCACAAAACACGCCGCCACCAGCAACTTTTCCCCCCTGGCTGCGCGCAACTTTTTGCCTTTTCGCCCAGCACGTTCTGTCCCGAGTTTCTGTCCCCTGGGTTTTCCTCCGCTTCCCTCACCTTCTGTCCAGCGGCGCGCGGAGGACCCGGGCTGGCGGGGGCGAGGGGCGCCGGGGCAGCCGCGGCGGAAAGAGAAAAAGGGGAAGGGGAAAGGAGGCGGCGGCGGTGCGGGAGGAGGAACTGGTCAAAGGGGACAGAGACCGGCGAGTGCCCGAAAAGGAAAGCGACGCCACGGTTTGCCGCAGTCGGAATAAAGTTCGCGCCCTTTCCTCGGCGATTCTCTCTTTGACAGCTAGGCGCTGGCGGCCACCTCCACCTCCACGCCCGCACCCCCCGGGGGGCGCCAAAGTTGTTTTTCCATCCCCACCAGGAGCGGGGGGAGCAGTAACAGGGCGTGGGGGGGGGGCGAGAAATATACATCCTCCCTCACGAAACCCCTAGAAATCTGAGGACAAACAACAACAAAACTAACCCACTTCTATTTTGCAAAAGAGAAGCAACATTGTAGTCACGACATTTTTGCAGAGAGGAGAAACTTGTGGGGCTTGCAAATCCACCCCAGGTCACCTCGTCCGAGGGTCTCTCCCCCGCCCCCCGCAGCAGCCTCCACCCGGGACAGTCCGTTCCCTTTTTCTTTCTCTCTCTCTCTTTTTTTTTTCTTTTTTGTCCCGAGGAGCCGGGGGAACTCTGCAGGCTCCGACTTGGAGAGCGAGGGCGACCCTGGGCGCGTGTGTAAATCAGTCACCTGAGCGCAGAGGGGCCGCGGCGAGGGCGCGCGCGGGCGGGCGGGCGGGCGGGGAGAGGCGGAGGCGGCGAGAGCGGCGGCCCGGAGGAAATCGGGAGGGGGAGGGAAAGAAAGGCCGAGACAGAAGGAGCGAGAGGCGGCCGAGGGGCTGGTCCAGGCGCGGCCGCTAAGAGGAGACCAAGAGGCGGGGGCTGCACTTGACAACCAGCATGCCGAGATGGTAAGAAGTTTCCACCCTCCTTTCCTTTTTATTCTAGACTTCGTCAGACGTGAGCCCCGTGCCCGCGCGCCCCTGGGGCCGCCCGGGGGCCGTGTTTTCCTCAAGTCCGGCGGCGTGAGGTGGAGGGGGGCGCTGAGGAGGGCGGGCAGGAGAGGAGAACCCCAGCCCAACCTGGCCCCTGCCGTGCTCCCGAAATTTCCCCCCAACTTGGGCCAAGTTTGCGAGAGCTCGGGGTGGGAGGTGTGTGTGTGTGAGAGAGAGAGAGAGAGGGGGGCTCGGGAAGTTCGCCCCCTCTCGCGGCGGGCGAGGAAAGGTGAGCGCGGCCGGCGAGCGAGAGGCTCCAGGGAGTTCGGACGGGCAGGGGAGGACGGAATGGAGGGGAGGCGGGGGATGAATGGAGCGCTGGAGGGAGCTCGGGGCGGAGAGCAAAGCGTTTTGGACAACGGTAACTTTTAAAACTTGCCGGCGAGTGAGGGCCGGGCGGCTGGGCGTGGGCGCCTGGGCGCGCTGGTGCGCCGCGCGGCGGGGACACAGCCGCCGGGTCCCGGCACCTTGGCGTTTCCCCTCCCCTCTCCCTCGCGTTCGGCAACCCTCCCTTTGTAAATGAAGAAAACGTAGGAAGTGCTTCTGGAGGCTTTATGAAGAATGTGCAAAACGTAGGGCAGGAAAATAAACCCGAGAGAGACGGAGATTTTTGAGGTGCAATTTTAAAGGAGCCCATTTGTTCTACTTACACATTGACTGCAGGGTGGCATTTGGGGCCCGGGGAGGGGACAGAATTAAAAAAAAAAAAGAAAAGTGAATGAAATCCCCTGTGTAGTGAGGCTAAATAAGAAAAGTTCCAAGGGCAAGTGGTGGAGGAGATGGGAAGGCGAGATTCGAGCCCAGCTCCTCTCCTCGGAGCGGCTTCTCCGCAGCGAGGCAGCGTGCAGTGAGTTCTCCTGGTGATGAGCGCTCTGTCCGCTTTCGGGGAAGTGATTTGTTAGAAATGGGGTTGGACCACTCCCTTCCCTTTAGTTTGCTTCCACCCAGAGCTGCTATTGTTACCCCCACTTGGGGATCTGATCTACCGTTCTGCATGTAGATGGAATATGTAGGAAAAAGGGAGATAGCGGGTTGGCGTTTTTTCCCTCTTCCCTTCCCCCTAATGTGACATCTCTTGTTTCAGTGATCAAAGTCACAACTGGAGTGTAGGAGATGCGACTGTCAGATGTAGGCACGCGCGCGCGCGCACACACACACACACACAAAAGTAGCATGCGCCCAAGACTGTGGTTACAGTAACGCTGACAGAAATTAAAGTGGTTTTGAAAGCAGCGTGCGATTTATAGTGGTTCCCATTTACCTTAGAGTCAAGCTGTTGTAAAGCTGATGTACGAAAGATAACATAAAATAATCCTGTGTACCCAGGATTAAAGTGGCCTGCCTTATTAATTTTTATGTACTTCGCGGACAGTTGCAGTGGTTGGAACCTGTTTTTTAAGTGGAGGCGTCAAAGCAAAATATTAAAGATATTTAGTGCTTGGGTTTTTTCTTCTAGCGGCATCTACCTAAGAACACTGTAAAGCCGGTTGTAGGTATTATTTTTCTTCCCTTTCCCCCAGCCTACATTCTGTTTGTCTACACATCTATTCCCAGATACTAATCATTTTGAAAAGTGGCTAAATCCATTTGTTATCCACTGCTTTGTATACTGCAGTTTCAGACGTTAACTGTGCACACACGTACATGTTTTAACTGGAGGAATTTATTTCTGGCACTGTTATTTAGTGTGTCTGATTTGAAGACGTAGTCAGGAGTAGTGAGACCTCATACAAGTTAATAGAACTTCCTTTTTACCCTTTGGGCTTACACACACACAAAATCCCTTGTGAACCTTTATAGAGTATCTGTGTTTTATGTTGTATTTGTAGCTGTTTCATTTAAACTCTTCAGCCTTAATGAAGTTCTTAGTTGTAGCTACTCTTTCTGTTCCTGGAGAGCAGAGTATTTAAAATCCAGATTGCTAATCACTCTACCAAGTACAAGAGTATCTTCACCTGAGGGAAATAATACTGAACCTGAATGTGAACTCTGTTTGAGTATCTTGTGAGAAACGACTGAAACTGTCTTTTCTTCCCCCTTGAGAATATTAAGTTCGGTGGTGTTTGCATGTAAAACTTTGAACAAGAACCAACCTCCTGTGATTTTTAAAAATAAATATTAAGAAAATATTAAGAGCAGTTATACATTTCCCAATACCTAATTTTTTTTTTTTCTTCTACCTGGAATGTAAGAGATCTGTCAGGCAGGGATATGTGATTACAAAAAGAAGCAGACAAAAGCAGAGCTGACTATTGCTATATTAAAATGTAAGTGTTACAGTTTGAATTTTCAAGTGAGAGTTTTTGAGTTCAGTGCTTTACATAACATTTTGTCCTAATCTTGCTTGCTGTCAGGGATGTTTCATGGTTGTGCAATTGCTGCAGTCAAGAATGCCAATTTGCATTCCAGGAGTGTCATTTGATTACTTTTATCTGCACAGCTCCAAGACCGGCCCAGACCTCTCGTTTCATCTTGCCATGTCACGAGTCAATGCTGTGTCGTCTTTTCAAAAATCTGCCTGATTTAGACAAGAAAGAAAAGTACTTTCATGTTGCAGCCGCAGTCCCCTGCTAACTTGTCAGCAGCAGGATATGATTCACTTGGGCCCAGAAGAATGGAACAGAGAGGCGGGTTAGGCGGTTCAATAAAACCCACGGACAGGTAGTGTGTGACATCCCCAGAGAGCCACAGTTAATGAAGAACAGGTCTGCTTAGTTCTCCACACGCTGACCTGGTGCTGTCCCCACAGTTTTCTCATTTGATCTTTCCCAGCAAATTGATCTTTTCTTGTATTTTTTTGCCTTCCAAGTTAGTCCTTGTGGGACTGAAATTAGCAGAGCAACTTAAGTTGGATAATACAGCTGTTCAGAAAAGAAGAAATTGGACACTGGCTCAAAAAGGGGCGGGGGTTGGGGGTGGAGGGAGCTATTCTTTTTGTTGTTCCTGGGAATATTTCTTATTTTAAGGGAGACCAGAATAGGTGATGACTTGAAGTTAGTGGTTCCCTTTATTTTTCATTTTATAGTTAAGGTTCAGCACCACTGTAAATATTAAGTATGTGAAAGATGGCTCTTATGCGTGTGAGGAGTTCAATTTAGTATTTTTTTTTTCAATTTAGCATTTTTCGTATTCATTTGTTTGAAATGATTTGCCAGTCGACTATGGGGCTTTTTATGGCTATTGTAAGATAGACTAAATATCAATGGTGTACTTCGACTATATTATTTATAGTCTTCTAAATAACTGCTATCCTAAAATATCCAATACTGAAAAGATTAAACAAATTAGAAGGTCATTACCAGTGTTGTGTGTAAATACTTGGTATGTGTAAATGTTTTCTACAGTTACCATCAGCATCTTTTGTTTTAGGGTAACTCCACAGATACACTGTTAATAATTAAAAAATAAATTTCAAGATTCTGCATTTAAATGTAGGTTTTTAGAACTGAGACCAGATCACATGTTTGAATTTCTGTAGATATTCTATATATGTTGTTTGTTTTTTGAGATGAAAATTAATTTTAACTAGCTTGGTAAATCTAAGTTGGGGGTGCATGTATAGTTTAAACAGGTTAAAGTTTCACTCTAGAATTTTCTATATAAAGCTTAGGTTGGAAGCAATTAATAGATTAAGTGAATGTGGATATAAGGAGCAGTGCTTTCTGAATTCCTCTGCAGATGGTCTCATTTACCATCTACATCCTTGCAAGAAACAGTTGAAAACATTTTTTGTGGAAGGGGAGGCAGCCTCCAATCTTTTCTTTTGGATGGGAATTACATAGGATCATTGGTTAGTAAACTCCTCTCTGAAGAGCTAGAGGGAGCCTTATGATTTTATTAGATATACTTAAGGTTAAAAAAAAAATCACTGGCAATCAGAATGTTGTAGAATAGGAGTAGATAATGAATACTCGCTTAATGTTTAGGCTTGGAGGTGCTATAGGGTTTTTTTTGTGTTTTTTAAGCTGTGACAAAAGCAACGGAACTTTCTACAAGAACAATTAAGTAGTCAGCTAAGAAATCTAGGGTTCTACCTTTTATGTGATTTGAAGATCAAGCAAAATGCAACCA